CCCCCCGCTGATAACATTGGAGCCACAGGTACAGAAAGAATGAATTAATTTTGCCTTGGTATTGCTTTGTGAAGGGAAGAGTTTTGTAAGTCTAAGAAAGCAAGCATAAAACCAAGGATTGCTCCAGAGGGAAGATTTGTGCAAGAAAAAAAAAAATTAAGATTAGAGTTGTGGGTTAACAGGGGAATGGATTCTCTCTGGAGAGAGAATCTCACCCTTCTTTTCCAATCTCCATCTTCATTTCCAGCAATGGGTGAATAGCAGCCTTAGAGTTTTTCTTCCCTTCACTAGTAAATAGAGCCATGGCTATTCCTCCAGTGGCCTCTCAATGAACTCCAATTGTTCCCAGACAATCTCCCACGTGTTCCCCCTCTCCTCAGTAAACCTAACTTTTTCTTCTGACTCTTATGACTTCTCTGTTTCTATTAATGAAATCATCCCCTTCTCTGCAGCTCAGGATTTATTCTTTAAAATCATCAGAGAACTTAAAAAGAATTCTTCTTCATTTGTAGAGCTGACAAAGCCCAGAGATTCTATCAACAAAATAACCTTTCCATTTCCTCTCCCCACTGTCTCCCCACTTTCCTCTTGGTCTGCCTACTTTAGCCAACCTCTTAACTTAGATGCCAAGTCTCTTCCTCCAAAAGTCTTCTGTGACTGCTTACTGCCCCACACCTGCACCCAACCTACAATATAACTTTTATGTATCATTTATTTTTTCCCTTTCAGAATATTTACATATCTTTACCCCATCCTTGAAGACAGGGACTATGTCTTTCTCAACCCCAACACCTATCATAACCTAGTTCATAATGGGTGTTCAGTATAGTTTTGTTGCTTTGAAACCTTTTAACTCCTAACAAATTTGAACAGAGAACATACTGTTCCATGTTTAAAAGCTTTTAACAATTCCATATTGCCAACCCCAGGAATCTCAGTGTCCTCATACCAAATTTAAGGCATTTATGACAAAACTGTCATCTCCTATTTCTTCTTCTCATCAGGCATTCTAAAGAGCAAACAAGCTTACCTCATGATTAATTCTTTGCTCTATCTCTAGTTCCTAAATTGTGCTTTTTCTCAGGCCTAGATATTCTTCCTTACTGTTTATCATTAATTTGTCAAAATCTGCTCATCCTTTTAAGATGATTCCAAAATTTCGTTCTCAGAGAAAGCATTTCCAATCCCCCCAAGGCATCATGACTTTATTATAACATTACTATCGCCACCAACACAGCACATGAATTGGCTCTCTTAGTTGATTTTTTTTTAAGATTTATTTTATTTTATTTTTTACTTATGCTTACAGAACTGGGGTATAGGCCAGAGGTGTGGTGGGTGAGAGGATTCATCAGAGACAGAGTGGGGACCAGAGTTGATAAAGGCAGATTGATAAAGTACACTGCTGAGGGGAGCAGTGGGCAGGTCAGGAGAGGTCAGCCATGCCATGTGGGTCAGTTCCCTGGCTGGGGATTGAACTAGTGCTGCAGTGGCTTCAGAGAGCTTCATAAATGTAGTGCTTTAACCTGTTGCACCACCAGGGTGAGCCCTCTCTTAGGTGTTTTTATGCATTTAATTATATTAGTTTTGCCCTGAGGATTAACTGAATGTCCCATAAGCTAAAATACTAGTAATAATGATAATAAGCAGCAGCAGCAACAGCCACTGTTTTCCATCACCCACTATTAGTTTGTCTGGGACACTTGAGATTAGATGTGCTTGCATCCATCTATCTAAGTCAATGCCTGGCACTTGGCGTCCTCTAAAAACATAAGAAACATTAGATATCAAATGTCAATATAGGTCTCATTTTTTCCTTTTTCTTCACCAATATTCTCTTCTCAACCTTAGTGAAAAGGTTTTATAGTCAGATCACTTCATCACATAGCTTTTAAAAAAATAAAAAGATTTATTTATGTATACAAGAACTGGGGTGTAGGCAGAGGCACTGGGGGGTGAGGGCATTCACCAGAGACAGAGTAGGGAGCAGAACAGGCAGATCTACTAAAATACACTGCTGAGAGCAGCAGTGGGCAGGTCAGAAGAGGTCTGCTATGTTATGTGGGTCAGCACCCTGGCCAGGAATCGAACTCCTGTCATGCTGCAGTGGCTGCTGATCACTTCCCAGGGCTGCACTTTAACACTTTGTACTACCAAGGAGGGCTCCATCATGAATTTGAAGTCACTGTTTATATATTTTTATTTGTTTCCTTGGAATATGTTCTTGAAGGTGAAAAAAACTGAATGGGTACCTAAGATTCTTACTACATTTTGTCAAATTGGACACACTTAGTGCTTTGGCAAAAAGATGTGACTTGCATTCTTAAAGATCTTCCAGTGACCATGTTACTAGATTTTGCCAGATAATTTGGATAGAATTCACTTAATGGTAAGTATGAATGTCTCTCTTAAAATTTTAGGGATAAGGTGCCTCAAAGAGGGATTCTGTGTTTAGCACTGTCCTGGTTACTTATCCATCACTAGGGAAATTTTGAAACACCCCCCACCCCCAGTCCATTTCCATCAAATAATTTCATGGTTTACTTTAACTCAAATGAATGTATTGACCTGTCCATATCTAGAGACCTCAGATAGTCTTTTTTGTTTGACTTCTGTAGCAACTAAACCAAGATTGTGATCAGCCTAAGAATAGAAGCACCATTCTTTTTCCAGGTCACACTTTCATCAGAATAATATATAGCATCTTAGCCAACTGGGTAAAAAACTTGACCTGCCTATTCCAGTCCAGCCACCATAAAGTGTTGCCAATTACAACAACAGCTCCTAACATAGAGATGTGACATAGAAGAATGCAATGCTCTGTGAGAGTAACCTGGTAAATATTTTTAGACAGGAGGACATGGAACAAATGTTTAGTGACCTCAGTTCACATTCAGCCCTTTGCCATTTCTGTGAACATCATATGACTTCATCTGATCTTTAATCATCCCGCAACACATAGGGAGAAACTCTGGGTAAGACATACCCAGTCTTCAATAAACTCACAGAAATAGGTTTTTCCTAAATTAGGTTTGCCTGTAGTCTATTGTATACATAACCTTTCCTCTGAAGACTGGAGTACAGTTCTTTGTTTATATATATGGATGTATGTATGCATGCATATATGTGCTTATATATATATACATATTTGTATATGGATGAATGTGGATGTCTATTTTTAATCCCACACACATGGTAAAAGAATGAATGCTTTTTTTGAGGGATTTTTTTTTTGGATGTAATATAGAAAAAGGAGATTTTCATCTTAAATATACTTGCTAACTCTCTCACCAGAGACAGCTTAATTAAGTCTTTTTGCTTCTTTCACTTTTGTTTCAGTGAGCTTTGCAACAAGTAATAAACAATCAGAGTAATATTTATATTGTTCAAACCTATCTCTGAATGGAGATGCAATTTGGAACTATCCTCCAAGTTGTCAAAACTGAGTAATGACAAAGTAGGGTAAAAATCACAAAGATAATCACATGGGGTACTTTGATATCTTCCAGGGGACAGGTTTCAATAAGAGGCAATGTAAGAACACAAATAGCATTACCACTTACAGTGGTAATGACAACAGCCACATTTGGAAGAAGGAAAGGGAAGAGGCAATCAGAGAAGACCCAAATACTTTTGCAAGATACTTAAGGGTAGAACAGAATGTTTTGAGCAGAAATTTGGATTAAGGACACTTCATAGAAGGGGAGTTAGATGGGTAAGTTCTCATAAGTAAAAGAAAGTGCATCATATCATAAATTGATTTTTTTTTTTTAGTTAACAGACAAACCTAAAAGATAATATGTTACTGGACAGAATCCTACTGGTGGCCTTTTATTGTCACAAGAAAAAGTAATTATTTGGGGGCTTCTCTTTGAATCTCAGGAAAAGGAACTTCACGTTCTTAAGTGAGCTGTTTGCTAGCAGAGAAAGAGCTGGCTCACTCTTTAGATTTTTTTTTTCTTTTCGCTGTCCAATGAAATAAAGAGCCATGCTTTTGAATGTAGTTGATTGGTTACTGTAAAAGCCCCGCTCTAAGCAAGGACCAATGAGCTACGGAAGCCCAGATTCTTGGAAATAGTTTCTAGCCAGGAATGCGTGACATTGAGACTGGCTCTCACTTGTAAACAAGGGCAATTCTGGGCGGCCCCTAGCCCAAGCAGTGCGGGGACCTGTCTCAAGTACCTGATCTTGAACCTACTTGCTGACAGCTGTCTGGCAACAGCTTCCTTCTATTCCCCCTCCCCCTCACAGCTCCTGCAGGGGTGCCAGGCCACTCAGGGTACCAAGGCCATGGGCGGGACCCAAAGTTCTTAGTCTGAGCTGATTGGCTCGGCTCTATTTTCTGGCCGAGTCTCCAAGTCCCAACGACTCCTCCCCCGGCTGAGTTGGGGGGCGGGGAGTAAGGGGGCGAGACAAATAAAACCACTGCGGGCGGCAGTGGAAGGCAATAGGCAAACTTGAGTCTCCCTGGGCTCACGCTCCTCAGAGTCCCTGAACGACTGCTCCGCCACCAAACCTTTTTCCTGGTCCGAGTGCAAGCACCTGCTCGCCAGCACACCTGCCACACCTGCTCTTCCGCGGTCCCAGATTCTGCTCCCTGAAGCCGGCACCCCTCAAGCCAGCCTCTGCAGCCAAGCCTGGTGGGCATCAAGATGAAGGCGGCCCGCTTCGTTCTGCGCAACGCTGGCTCCCTGAGCAGCGCCAGCCTGGTCCCCCGCGAAGTTGAGCATTTCTCCCGCTATAGCCCGTCCCCGCTGTCCATGAAGCAGCTGCTTGACTTTGGTGAGCTGGGACTTAGGACGCGAGCTGGGGTGCAGATGCTGGGGAACTGCTTTAACTTTCAGCCCAGGTGTGGGAAGGTTGGGTTTCTCACTGAAACAACTGGATGGGTCTGCCTTGGGGCTGAGCCTCTGGGAGTCTCCCCGCACCGAGCACCTTGTTTTTTCCCAGAGTTGTCTTCTTTCTGACAGTTTGTGCCTACAGGTCAAGTCTATTTGCAGTCCTGCTAATGCTGGATGGTTTGAGCCCATCTCCTTTATTTTCTGTCCAAAGCTTCCTGTCAAAGTACTTTTTGCTTTCAGCCACCATTCAACAATGAACTAGAAATTTTATCCTCGTCTTTACAGGGTAGTTCTTTCTTGAAAAGATTCCTAAAATAAACTACCCTCACATTAATCGATATCTTGGCCAACTTGCACCCCTCCACGGGGTTCTTTTCCTTGTATTCCCAGTAGATCTGTCTCTACTTTTAGAGGTTTCCATATATTTTGTGTTGCTGCTGCAAAGACGTAACAAACTTTTTTTTTTGGTACTATCTTAAGGAAAGTTTCAAGGGTTGAAGTGTGACTTGAAACATCATGACTCCCCCCCTCACTCCTACAGCACCTATCCTAATACCATGGCTGAACTATGAAATATGTTGTCTTCTTGACACTGTACTGTTGACTGGATCCTGAACAATTTTGTGAATTTTAAGAGCCATCTGATATTCTGAAATTTTTGGAATTGAAACCTCTTCAAAAAGAAGAGGTCACTATATTGGTCAGTTTAAAAAAGAAAAGAAAAAGACAAGAAGAAAATTGCTTCCAAATTATCTATAAATGGTGGTAGCCCAACTGAGGGTGAAATATGATTTTATAATATATTCAATATTGGATAGTGCTATTCAAATATATCATTTAGACATACTTCTCCCCCCCCCCACAACCTAAATGTTATTATTTATTACAGGCTCAGAAAATGCATGTGAAAGAACTTCTTTTGCATTTTTGCGACAAGAATTGCCTGTGAGGCTAGCTAATATCCTGAAGGAAATTGATATTCTTCCTGATAGGTTAATAAATACCTCTTCAGTGCAGCTAGTGAAAAGCTGGTAAGTGGTGAACTATCCTAAAACAGCTTCTACTTTTAAGACAGTTATCTGAATAGGAACTCTTATATTAACATCATAAATGAATAATAGGTTGTCTGAACAGTACCTTTTAAAAATATATCAAGAATTTGTTAGTTTAGGTTTATCAAGAAAATCAGGTTTAGCATAACAGCAGTTACAATACCATATAGACATTTTTATCATGGAAAATAAATACTTTCACGATATAATTTTGGTTTGTAGAGGAAATATGAAAAACTGAAAGTTGCAATTTTTTGTACTTCAAATAAGAAAAGACAGTTTGATATTGCAATTGCAAAAGGAATATATTAAAATGGCTCTATATCGAGAGGGTCTAATCCTTATGATTTTAAAGACCAGTAACAGAGGGCTCTGGGTTCAAATCTTTGCTCTGCTTCTTCCTAATTGTGGGCTGTTTGGCAAGGGTTCCTCCATTTGTTATTGAGAAGGAAAAAAACTATATATTAAAGAAGTATTTAAAAAACACTTATAATAGTGCCTGTCACACAGATGGCACTCAGGAATTGCCCATTATCTCATTTTACAAGATAAGATAAGGGTTTAGTAAGGGTAGATAACCCAAAGGAGCAGATTTTCTGAGAACAGAACCAGGGTGTGCAACATGGCAGATACATACCAGAGGTGCCACTGATTGCATAGCTTTTTGTTCATTGATTCATATAATAAATCTGCCATACACCATTTATACATTTATAATCTGAAAGGCACACTCAGTTCATAGCATTTCTTCTTATGTTTAAGATTTCTATTATCCCTATGAAAGAAAGCAGAGAAAAAAATGAAGTTTCTTTAAAAATCATTTTTTAATGTTTTTTGCTTTAAGAAATGAAAACATTTGTCAAACAAAATGAATGTTAATTTGTCAAAGAGAACTGAAGAGTGATCTAGAATCACTAAGGAACCATAAATATTAAGTTAGAAAGTCTAGGGTTAGAAGTTCTGGGTTTTTATTTGTAAACAAGTATCCCGAAGGAAGGTTTTAATTTTAGACATAGTACTTTCTCTTTTCAAATCACTTGAAAAGATACTCTATTTTCAGCACTTGTATCTGATTACTCCATTTTAAAACTTAAAATGCAACTCTCTCACTTTATATAGGTATATCCAGAGTCTGATGGATTTGGTAGAATTCCATGAGAAAAACCCAGAGGATCAGAAAGCATTATCAGAGTAAGTCCTATGTATTAGAATGAATGTCTAAAATTTTGACTATATCCAGATATACTCCTAACATTCTTTTTTACTCTTAAACTAATGGAGTTCCAACTCTGAATAATAAATAACTACCTCTTTACAAATGACAAGTTTTGACTTGCTGGTTTTTTAGAAGTGATAAAGAAATGATACAGTATAGAGAATTGGAAAGGAAATCTGCTTTGACTGTAAATTTAGTCAGGGGATTAGATTTGCAGGATTTACTATTTTATATTATTAATAAATGTCACTGTTATAGGAGACTAAACATTTGCTTTTTAGCAACAGGAAATCTTTTCCTAATCTGACCCAAAAAAAATTGTTTTTTTCACATTGGCATTCAAAATTATTTTTTAAAATATTACTTTTTAAAGAACAGATTTAATGAATCCTAGGTTAAATAAAATATGCCCATCACAAAGCTGGTGTTTTTATACATACACTACAAGCAAAATAAATCTATTTGTGAAATTATCTCCATTATCTCCTCTAGTGAGACTTTTATAGTGGAAACCTTAATAAAGCTTCATCGGAACAGTTGATTACTTGATCTTCTTTAGATGGGTATTTCAGCTTTCTTTGACATAATCTGAAGAATATGAGTGAATGAAACTTAGTTGAACTTTCACCAACTATAAACGTTTTGCTTAGTTTTATAGATGCACTCATCAAAGTTCGAAATAGACACCACAATGTAGTCCCTACGATGGCCCAAGGAATCATAGAGTATAAAGATGCCTGTACAGTTGACCCAGTCACCAATCAGAATCTTCAGTATTTCTTGGATCGATTTTACATGAACCGCATTTCCACACGGATGCTGATGAACCAGCACAGTAAGTTAGCTTGTTGTGGTGGTGATACACAGAGATGGGTATAGGTTTTAAGCTACCCTAGAAGTAGATGTTTCCCTAATTATGGATCACATTTTTCATAATGGTAGTTCAGGTCATTATTATGATTTCAATAACAATATATATTTTTTCCCAACAGTTCTTATATTTAGTGATTCAAAGTCAGGAAACCCAAGCCACATTGGCAGCATTGATCCAAAATGTGATGTGGCAGCCGTGGTCCAAGGTAATTTAGATTTCTGCTTTTCCTTTATTGAAAAAAATACATTATGTGATTGATTTATCTATAGCTGAGGTGGCTCTGAATGAATTTATAACAAAGGCATTCCTTTTATTTATTTATAAATACTTCCACAAAGAGCCTTTGATTTTGAGAGTAAGGAGTTTGAACACTAATTTATAATATAAAAAAATTCAAACATACCAGCGGCCTATGGCTACACTTTCATACATACACACACACGTGTATATGGTTGTGTATGCATATATCTGTATATGTGTGTATGTGCATCTGTATGTGTGTGTGTGTATATAATTAATTGTTGCAGTTTGCATATAGTCATTATTACAATTATACCTTAAACAGTGCCTTAATTTTTCTTGAATAATACCTTAAAAATATTTTTCCTGTACATAAACCTGTGCAATAGTGAATACATTTAGGGTAGTATCTACATTGAAGATCAGTTGAAAATTTTCCTTGGAATGCATTCATTTCACAATTATGAATAAAACCGTTCATTCTATTCCAGATGCCTTTGAGTGTTCAAAGATGCTCTGTGATCAGTATTATTTAACGTCTCCAGAATTAAAGCTCACACAAGTGAATGGTAAGCTATAAATACAAAGCTATAAATACATTATACTTTAATCTATGGAAAATTCCATGTTCTTCCAATAAGATTATGTCTTGTAAATACAAAGGTACTTTTGTGTTCATTTTTTTCCATCCCACACTTGCCTAGAATTTGTACACTTTTTTTAAGCCAAAGTTTGTTTTTTAAAATCTCAACTGAAAAGCAGAAGTTGAGCACTTTCACTTGCTAATAACAAAACATAAGGAAGAATAGTTTGAACAGATAATTTGGGGATTTAGAATAGCTACTCAGTTCCATTACCTTCGATCAAAGAAAGATTGCTTAACATACAGAATGTAAAAGATAGGGAGGTCAGAAGTGGGGAGAAACCACTTGATAGAAGTAATCCATAGAGGTTACTCATAAAATGAGGAGAAAAACTTTAAATTGCACTGTATGAAATAAGCCAGTCACAGAGATGGGTACTGTGGGATTTCACTTATAGGAAGTATCTGAAATAGTTAAGTTTCTAGAAGCAGAGAGTAGAACGATGATTGTTAGGTGGAAATGAGGTGATAGTATTCAATGGGAATTCAAGTTATGCAAGATGAAAACATTTCAGATATCTGTTGTACATCTTGTGTGTAAGTAGCAATATTGTATTTTAGGTCTAAAAATGTATTAAGTAGGTAGATCTCATGTTAAGTGCTCTCACCAGATTTTTTAAAAATTACACTTTAAGTATAGAATATTATACACTTATACCATATACTTCTAGACTAGCATACTTAAAAGTTTTAACTTTAGGGTACCTGAAAAGACAAGGTCTTCCCTCAATGACTGAATGCAAAGCTCTATTTTTATCTTATTTGAGTTGCTCCTCAGATTCAGTCTACTTAAATGAGAATAACCTTTTCCTTTCCATTCAAAGCAAGTATCTTATTCATTGGTTGTGAGAGTGAAAATTCAGTTGTTTGCAACTCAGAGTAGCCTAACTCATGGATTGAAGCTGTACTAATATAGTTGATTGCTATACTAAAAATGGGAGTACAAATAAAGATTAAAAATATCTGTGATCATTGAGCAGTATTGTTGCATAATACTGTAGACAAACTGCTTGAACTCTGATAAAATAAAGGGGGAACTGTGCCAGGCCTTCTGTTTTCTGATTCAAACCTTGCCAAGGTCCAGGACACCAAAGAATACTACTTTTATTTTTCTTTTCAAACAGTATTATAAGGTTTTCTGTTTCCCTGTCTCCCTTAGCTTCTTTGTAAAATTTAGCATAGCTAGTCTGTAAAATAGAAAGTTTGGGTAATAAAAATAAAGAATAACCAGGTGTGTTATTTCACCATGCATTAAAAGTATGAAAATTACATCTTGCTTAATTTCAGTATAATACTTTAGACACATTTATTTTTTCTGGTTTTAAATGCCTTTGATTTTAACTCTGAAATTGTCCAGGATGCAATATTTTAAAAGTAGAATAAATAATCCATGTAATCTAATTGATGGAATCTTTGCCACATGGCTCATCTCATCCACCTTTGTACATTTATAGAGTAAGGTAAAGATTAATCAGAGAGCACTTGGCATTAACCTTAGTCACTACCCTTGGTTACTATCCTAAGTTACAACACCTTATTTTGAAAGTAAGCCAGTTGTGTTTATTGCTCAAAATGGAAGGGTCTTAAGTAGGATTTTTGGAGTGAGGAAGATGGGAAGTATTTCAATCCTGTATATCTCTAAATTAATCAGACAGATAAAAAGTCTCATTTTACTGTCTGTTTCTTTACCAAATCTAAATATGTTTAATTTTTTTCTAGGAAAATTTCCAGGCCAACCAATTCACATTGTCTATGTCCCGTCTCACCTTCATCATATGCTCTTTGAACTATTCAAGGTATGCCACATCATAATAATTGTAATTTTGTTTTACAAAGTCACACTTTGATATCCTTTATCATTCCCACTACACAAGAGCTTCACTACCTCCTAATTAGGGCTCTCAAGAGAATGGTGCTACTATTTTTGAAGGATACAAGCCGTCCCTTGTAGCAGCATCACCTCTTTAAGAATGCAAAATATGATTCATGATGTCTCAATGCTCCCTGTTCCTGTTATTTCTTCAGGTTTGCAACAAAGCATTAGTCATTCATGCCTTACTTAGGGGAAGTCATGGGGTGACTGCTTCAGTGAATGAGGCCTTATTATTGCCACCTCCACAGACTATTCCAGCTCCACATCCAGAGGGTCAAGTTTGGAATCACCCAACCTAAGACTAAAATATAATCAAAGGGCTGTGAGTTCTTTCAGTGATCTACTTTAATGAGAATATGACTCATCTGGGAGTTTTGTTGGAATGCAAACTGATTCTTCAAGTGGGGAGAAGGGCCTGAGGGTCTATATTTCTAAAAGCTAAAGGTAGAGTTGCTGACCCATGAGCCTCAGTCTCCATAGCAAGCCCGGAAAGGGGCCAGAGATGCTAATCACATTTTCAAGTTTAATGTAGTTAGAATAGAATCATGTGGGAGGGCTTCTAAAACATAGATTCTCAGTCTGTGCTCCAGAGATTTTGATTCATTCACTTGCATATATACAATTCCATATGTTCAGAGCATGCTGATGTGTTACTCACTTGGGATAGCTAGGTGCTAAGAGTCCAATCCTCTCCTGGATTCTAAGACCAAACTAAAACTTCGAACTTACACCAAAAGTTAAAAAAGCACCCGAAGCCTTGTGATGTTTCCAAGATCCCTGGATGACAGGGGAGAAAATCTAAAAGAGTATTCTGATTCTGATTCAATACTTTTCAGAACTTACTGCTCTTAACTTACTCTGATACTAGTGCAGTTGTATTTTAAACATCTGGTCTGTTTTATTTCTCTTTATCCAGTGATTAAAACTTAATATTACAAAGAAAGCAGAAAGCATAGAACCCACCAGAAGGAAGTTAGAGAAGAAAATGGGTAAAATAAATCAAGACTTCATCTATATGAGGTTCATCCAGTTGTCTAAAAACTTAGTTTTTTTTTCTTTCTGTTAAAGAATAAAAGATACTTTTTCAGTGATTTGATTTATTTTTAAATTGAATGGTCCAACTCCTTGAGTTATTTTGCCATCATTGGTAAAAGTTAAGATGATAATCAAATGCAAATTGAAATTTAATTTAGAATTATTTACTATCCTTTTAAATAGTAACAACCTTCTCCCAGCAAATTTTATAAAAGCCAATAAATTGGTTCAATGATTCACTGTTCATTTGTTATGTAATAGTCTTTGGTGCTTGGATGTAAAATGTAATGGAAAGACAGAAAAGAGAGAGCCAGGAAATGGACTATAAAAACCAATTTCTACATTTAAATTAAGCTTACAAATAAGAATTTGACAGCCAGCAGAATTGTTTTTCCATTAGACATTCCTCCCAGGAGCTATATTGCACAGCAAATGAATATTTTTCATTATACATCCTGCATGACACATTCATAAATGGCTATTTACAGAGCTGTTTTTCCTACTAACTTAAAAAAATATAGGAACTTTGAATTGCCCTCTGTGTTGCTTTTATTTTAAACATAAAAAACATTTATTGTCCCTCATTTTTCTGTCATGGAATTTCTTATGGCTTTGTTTTCTTTAGAATGCCATGAGGGCAACAGTTGAACACCAAGAAAATTGCCCTACCCTTACACCAATTGAAGTGATTGTCGTCCTGGGAAAAGAAGACCTTACAATTAAGGTAAACATTTTCTGTCTTCTCTTTGGAAGCACTTGAGAGGGTTTAAAAGAGTCAATAATAATAAAGCTCTGTGCTTGGAGAAATAGATCCAAATCCCAAACGCCAGGCAACTTTGAAGTGAAGGAGAGACATTTTTATACAGACAAATGCACAGTGGTTTTAATGTGTAGCTCTGACGATGTGTTTGTTTGTTTAAGATTTCAGACAGAGGAGGTGGCGTTCCGCTGAGAATCACTGACCGCCTCTTTAGTTACACATACTCCACCGCCCCGACACCTGTGATGGACAATTCCCGGAATGCTCCTTTGGTAAGATTCACTGTCTGGCTAAATTCATCCAAACGCCTAGTTCTAAATGTACGCAAGGATTACAGAGCAGTATTTGGCAAGTTACTAGATTTAATTAAATTAGGCCTGATGGGTATAAAAGTATGAGAAAGCAAGTTACAAATAGTGAAATGTTTCTAGACGACGTCTCTGACGAGACGTCGCAGCTATTAATGTTTATCTAGGTTCTAGGGCCTCAGTGTCAGGGAGAATAGATATTACTCCTTGCCAGTTTGTCTTCCAACAATCATGTCCACCTCCTTATCAATAACTCATCTTTCCCCTCTAGGCTGGATTTGGTTATGGCCTGCCGATTTCTCGTCTCTATGCCAAGTACTTTCAAGGAGATTTGAATCTCTACTCTTTGTCAGGATATGGAACAGATGCAATCATCTACTTAAAGGTATCTTTGAGTTAAGAAGAAAGAAAAAATAATATTTTAGGAAAGATTATTTCTTTTACAGCCCTGAATTGTTTTTGTTTGATTTTTTTTTCTTCTTTAATGAGGTAACCTTGTTTTACAACACTGATTTAGAGGGGACAGGTTCACACTTCTCTGATGCTTGTCACCTCACCACACCCACCATCAAAGTATCCATAGCCCTTCACGTGAGGTAGTGGGTCCCCTAACCTCTTTGCCCCCACCTCCAGCTGCCTCATTACTGCAGTGATATGTTTAGGGTTTCAACAGCCCTGGGTTTTTGATAGCTCACAGTGACTTCCCCAAACTGAGTTAATGCAAAAAATTACCAGAAATTATTCTATTTTTTGTTTGTTTATGTGTGGATACACCATTAATATTTAACATGGTAATTTACCGAAACGGAAGCAGGGCCAGGCCACCAGCCATAAATGAAGCAAAATTGTTTCCCAAGAAGCACATTAATTTCAGTGAGGATATGCTCATGTGAATTTTTTAAGACAACTCTCTTTGGCATCTGTGAGAATAGTTGCATTTTGTTTTATTTAAACCTGTGGGAAATATATGCAAATTTTGTTCCAGCCCAGAAAAGTACTGATATCAAGATATTCAAGACCTTAAGCTGACCTTATTAGAAATCCAAAGAAAGGAAGGCTAACTGCTCACAGCTGTCAGTGTGGTGGCAGGCATTTCCTGTTTAAACTTTAAAACTCAGTACATGTTTTTCGTTTTCTGGTGAAATCTCAATTTGTTAAGGTCACTGTCCTCATTCTGTTAATCACCCCCCCCCCCACAACTTGAACTGAAAATATAGCTACAGATATTAGCAAATAAAACACGAAACTACCCGGCTCCCATTTTGTGTAAGGGAATTACAGGTATCCCTCACTTTCTGAAAATAGAATGCAAAGCCTTTCGTAAGTTGCAATGGTATAAAATGAAGATGCAATTACCATTAATTGATATGAAATGTTCTGAGCATTCCCACACCTCAGAATAACCAACCAATCCTACCAAATAAAAGAGAAAACTGAAAATAATGCTAACACACAGTAAAAACAGGAATGTTATGATAAATCCGGAGCCTATACAAAGCAGAAATTATGTATGTACGATGCAGTGTCACTTACCAGAATCAGAGAGAGTGAACATACTGCAAGCTGAGAATTGATGATGATGGAGATTTAGGCTCAGTCTGAGATTAGGGTGGTGTGAGGTGCAGGAGACTGGGGTGCTGGAGAGAGAAGAAGAATGTCATTTATAGACAGCTCACTGTCCAAGCAGGACTAACATCTACACTCACTTCCATGCCTGCTTGCTGCTTTGTGGAAGGTTGAGCTTCATCATGTAGTGTGGCTGATGTGAAAGGCTTGAAATAGAATAGTATGCTTGACTACTTAGTCTCACATACTTTTATCAAACAATTCTACTTGAAAACCTGCCCTACACCTAAATCAGCATCATTCTTTATTACCTTCATCGCAGCACTGTCAATCATAGCAGAAAATCTCATGTGAGTGCTTCTCCGTGAGCTCCAGGCTCACCTCACTTTAGTCAGTTGTTGCCTGTTGCATCAGTTTCAGTTACATCCAATTTATGCTAAGTGTTAACACTCTTACAAGCTCTCTTAGGCTTCTCTGGTAGCTTAGGGCACATCTGGCTAAAATGCACAAAATACATAGAGGCTCACAGACACAGGTCAGAGCTGTGGTTTGGCTGCTGAGCATAGTTCCCTGGTGAGGAGTTTATCCCTGCTGCTTCTTGGGTTTGGGGTGCCTTTTGCTGCTGCAAAATGGGTCACTGCTCTTTGCTTTTCAGCTTTTGTTGAAAAAGCAAATAGCCTCTTCTGATTTCTTTTGGTTAGTGAAAACGGGTACACAGAGACATCTCATGTAGCTCTTTCGTAAACATGAAATAACACAACTCAGACTTTCAGAAAGCAGGAGATACACAATTGCCAAGTAATTTTGACCATCTAAAATAGTTAATATAGTCATTATGAAATGAACAGAAGTCTCTGAAGTATTGGGAAGGAATCTTTTAATTGATTAATAATTAGGATGCTTCATTATTCAGCTCTGTCACATAAGCAATATCCAGACAAGGGACATATATAAATATTGAACATAAATCTGATTTCTTAAACTGTAGTTGTTTCTATATTATGTTTGCTCCTATAGGGTAGAAATCACTTTGTTTTCTCTTATACAGTGCTTAGCATACCATGGGCTCTGGTGTGCTCACTTAAGCAAGCCAATTAAAAGAATACATTTGAATTTTTGAATACTTTAACTTATTTTGAATAATCACTTCAAGTTCAAATTAGGCCATGAATAATTTCCTGATTTGATTTCCTGCTCTTCTCCTTTCAGGCTTTATCTTCTGAGTCTGTAGAAAAGCTTCCGGTCTTTAACAAGTCAGCCTACAAGCATTATCAGATGAGCAATGAGGCTGATGACTGGTGTATCCCCAGCAAGGAACCAAAGAACCTGGCAAAGGAAAAAGTGGCTGTGTGAAAAGGAGAGGGACGCTCAGGGCACTTTAAGGGATCAAAGTGGGTTTAGCCAGTGTTGCTTCCTGAATGTTTGTGTGTGAACTCGTTCCTCAAAAACAAACAACAGCAACAGAACTCCTTGATGAGAACACTAAGGCAAAGAGGAAAAGAGCTGTTTTCTTTGACCCAGGAGAACACAGTGCTGTACTGTAGCTTTTAACTTAGAATAACACTTGAGTTTTATCAAATCTTGACAAAGAAATGAACCTCAGTTTTCTGTCTCTTAGTCAGAGAGAATGGGATAAGGAGGGAAGATACAGGCCAGCAGTTCCTAACAGGTCAATATTTTAGACCGCTAGTTCATGTTATAAGCTATGAGTGTTTATTGACTAGCAGTGTCAATATACTGGTATTTTCTTGTCATTCAAAGGATTAGGGCATAGTTTACACTATGTGTACTTTTTTTTTTTTTTTAATATATCTATGTGCTCTAGGGAGGGAGAGTTGGTGACTAACATTCACTTTGAATGAGAAGGAATAAGTCAAAATATTTTAACTCAAAGTTACAGCTCAGGCATTAGACTTATGTGAAAAGTCAGAAGAATACTTCTGATAAATAAGGCCCCTTTATTATGGTGTTTTTCCTGTTCACACTTCACGTAATAAGTGAACACATATTGCTAAGTGCCTAGTCTTGGGTAAATTTAAAAATATGAAAATTTAGGATGTTGACAGTTGGAGGGAGATAAGAATTCCCAAAGTGATAGCAGAAATCTCTTAACCTTGTTTTGTTTATAAAGAAACAGTAGATGAGAGAAACTAAAATTAAGGAAAGAAATCATACATCCAGACCTAGGTCAGTAGGAAGGATGATTCTTTAACCCACGGTGGTGGCAATCCAGAGACATCCACTTTCTAAGTTTAAAAAGATGTACTTTTGATATATTTTGTAATATTCTCTACAGTACACCATTAACCTATCTACAAAAAATTTCTAGTTATCCAGTGGTTCGAGAATATTATAATTTTAAAAACTCCTTGGGATTAAAAGGTTTTCCTGCCAGGATACTTTCCTTTCTGAATCATGGCGATTTGGGATATAATGGATGAGAGCTAGAATGCAAATGGAACTTTGGGAGAAAAAGGAATAATGTGCAGGTTGACAGACGAATCTGCCAGATAACTCTTGGAGAAGAAAAAGAAGGAAAGGAGGGCGAGAAGCAGAAGGCAGGCCCTAGCATATTTCCCACAAGTTATATCTCGAAACTAGCTATGTTTTCTTGGGTAAATGGCCAGAACATGAGTTGTCTTTCAAAACAGTATGGCTTCTTTAAACAGTCTCACTTTTGCAAGATAGTAGGCTTTCATGCAAGATAAACTCATTTGTGTCAAATTGATGCTTAAATTGAAATATATATTCTGCATTGTAAAATAATCAGTACTATATGTCAAACTTAACATTTGTTTCTAATTTTGTTATGGCCTAGTATGGTGCTTCATTCAGGTAGTAGCCACAAAACCTAAAACTATTTGTTGTGGATTTCAAATTTTACCATGGGAAACCCTAGGTAGTAACTTTTATTGATTATACAAAGCTACTTGCAATAGGTATTTGACTTTTAATACTGAAATTTAAACATTTTCACATGTAAATAACTGTACCAAAGACTTAAAGCAATTGATTAATTAACCCAAATACTGTGAACTATCTTTGAAACACTAGAGAAAAAGAAATATTAATATCTTTAATTCTTAATAACATCAATTGTGTAAGTGGAGTTCTATAAATAGAAATACTCTATTCTGGTATTTGTGAAGTCTATCATCGGAGAATTTTATGATTCTAGTGGATGGTTTCTGAATATTCAAGCAAACTTAAATTATTAATGTGTAATTTGTGTCTTTGTCTCTAGGTTATGTACAGAGAAATGTGACAATTTTTATAATAAATATTTTTTATTATAATAGCAGAGCCAGACTTTTGAAGTTTTTTCTCAAATGAATGGCAAACTATTAAAAATTTGAAGCAATAATTTTCTGCACTTCTATTCAAATCTAATTCATCTACATGTTCATCTACATAAATTAGCTGCATACATCTGAAAGTACTGAAAGCAATATAATACCTAAATTTTTGAACAAAAGAAAGTATTTAATGGCAGCCCAGGACCTTCCAATTATCCTTTGCTTTATTGTTCTATAAAGCTTTATTGTTCTATTTGTTTTATCCAGTGTATGTTTATCTACATGTAGCGAATAATCATTTTGTCGCTTATAGTATCTGTTTTGGAAAATTAAAAGTTTCAATTTCTTCATTTACATAGCTAATATAGTAAAGTACGAAAGTAATGACTTAGATAATTTAGTTTTTCTGAACAATTTCTGGATTAAATATCTGAATATAATGAGACAGAAAGATAGAAATTTCTATATTAAGTGGTGGCCTGTTTTATTTTTGCTGTTCATACTGTCTTTACTAATTTAGTCCTACCTTATCTTTGGATAACATTCTTCACCAGTCTCCACAATGTCATTATTATTAAAGTTTTACAAGTAAGAAAGACGGAGAGGGAGATCAAGATTAGAAACAAAATCAGTGAAGTTTTCCATAAATAAATTCTAAATCTTGTCAGAGTGATCAATTTCAATTAAAAAAAAAATGCCTGTCATCAACCTAAAGCACTAGACCGTAAGGAAGCAATAACACTCAACTGCTTTCCGTTCCTCTGTTGGGGCAGTAGTGTACAGTGTATATAAAGAAAGCTACACACACAAAATTTAGCTATGCAATTGCCTTGTAGCCAGATGCTTTGGAAAGGAATTATTATACTCCACAGACTAAGAACCTTCACCAACATATTGATTAAACCCTCACGACTACAAACCCACCATTCTCATGCAAGCACCAACATCTTTTTAACTCAAATGTCTGCTCCAAAAATAATTTTTAAGTTCAGAAAGTTTGCTGAATTTTCCTCAGATTTGTCTTTTAAAAAAAAAAAAAAGATTTATTATTTATGCATACAGAACTGGGATTCAGGCCAACAGTGCAGGAGTGGTGAGAGGATTCACCAGACACAGAGGAGCAGAACAGGCAGATCGATGAAGTACACTGCTGAGGGAAGCAGCAGGTGGATCAGGAGAGGTCTGCCACACCATGTGGGTCACCTCCCTGGCTCAGGATGTAACTAGCACTGAGGCTAGCTTGCAGTGTTGTGCCCTAACCCATTACGCCAGCAGGGAGGGCCATTAAAATTATCTTTAAACCACTTCTCAAAAAATTGGATTTGGTTGACAATGGTAAAAGCATTTAATTTGAGCTACAATGATGTGCAAAGAGAGCTCACTGGGAACTAGTGGCTTGGCTGCTCATCTTGGCCTATGTCTTTATTCTCCAACTACACTTCCAAGCACTACATGTACACTAGTGCAACAAATAACGTCTGGATCCTCAGATCACTTATTCAGCTCTGGTGAAAGAACTAAGAGACTTACAATTTCACAAGAAGTTATACAAGTCCTTTAAATCAGATATTTTAAACAAACAAAAAAAATTACATCTCTATTAGCATTCCATTCAGTATTTTTTCTAATTTTTCACTTTTTACCTTAAATCATAGTTAAGTAGAAACTCAACAAACGTTCACTGTATGAATATATGAATAAACATATAAATAAACATTGCCTGTAGACAGCTTCTCTGCACTCGAAGACAGATTAGATCTATGTTAAGCATGGACATTAGTCTTCATATCACTTTTCACTTGAAGAGATTATTTGAGAAGTTTTAGAACATTGTAGAAACTCTGGCTATGTTTCCAACCAGTTATATAACAGATCTCTGTTTTATGTTGTTTTCTACTGGTGATCTTTGACCAATGAAAATTATCACACGTATCAAAAGAAATTAAATAATGTGTAAAACTTATTATTACTATGGACATGTCCTGAGCAAATGGGCCAGTGTTATAAATTTTATGAGTATTCCTACTTCACGTTCACCTTGGACTCAAACGAAAATATATTACCATCCATATTTCATGGCCCATTAGTGGAAATAAGCAACTGTCTTTTAATGAGATTTTGCAGTTCCTACCAAAGTGCAAATAAACATTAAAATCCATTCAAAGCTAATAGAAATGTCGGCAACCTTGAAAACATGTTGAATCTCTTAAATGATGTGAAAATAATAGGAGCTGGCAGTAAAGAATCCAGCAACAAAATAATAGTTCATCGATGAATTATGTTTTCATATTTACTGCTACCATTTAATGTAGTGAAAATAACAAAAAATGCAATATAACTAGGGTTTATTTATTAGCATACTGTTTTCCACAAATGTAAAAGGATTCTTTAAGACAAATAGTCCACTGAATGGCAAAGCCTTGGGTTTTTTTTTTTAATCAATTCCATTAAAACTATACCCTTTGCTGTGTTTTTAGGCCCCCAAAGCAGTTTTGCTATTTGGTGGTCTTTCGATTCAATCTTTTTCTCTTAATTAAAAAATATATATATATATATTTATATATGCATACAGAACTGGGGTACGGCCATTGGTGTGGGGGCAGGGATTCACCAAAGACAGAGTGGGGAGCAGAACAGGCAGATGCACTGAAACACACTGCTGAGGGGAGCAGTGGGTGGGACAGGAGAGGTCACCCCCGAAGCGGGGATCAAACTCGCACTGAAGCGGTTGTGGTCAGCTTGCAGTGCTGCCTCCTAACCCATTGCACCACCAGGGAGGGCCCTATTTATTTATTTTTTTAAGATGTATTTATTCATGTATAGAAGAGCTGGGGTACAGGCCTGAGGTGCAGAGGCGGTGAGAGGATTCACTAGAGACAGAGTGGGGAGCAGAACAGGCAGATCAATGAAATATACTGCTGAGGGGAGCAAAGGGTGGGTTAGGAGAGGCCTCCTGCACCATGTGGGTCACCTCCCTGGATCCAACTCATATCAAAGTGGCTGCTGATAGCTTTGCAGTACTGTGCTTTAGCATGCTGTGCCACCAGGGAGGGCCTTCTTAAAATAATTTTTAAGGACAACAAACATTGTTTGAAAATTGAAATATATGGTCTAAAAATAAAAGTCATATACCATGTTCTTGGGCAATTCTAGATTTCTATCCCAGCTCTGCCACCTCTGCCATGGGAAGTTACATAACTTTCCTCTGCTTAGTTTTCTAATAAGTAAAAAAAAAGGATAATTATGACATTTTCTTCATAGGGGTGCTGTGAAAAGTAAAATGAACATTTTAATAATAAAGCATGTATAATATCCTTTAGCATGTTATAAAATTTATATCGATATGTGCTATCTTACTGTCCTTCAGATGGGACACCATAAAGTGTGATCATGTAATACCAGTGGCAGCAACAAATTTGCTCTAAAATACTTTATTGCCCCTTTGTGACCCTGGGATTAGACTTTGAGGTCAAAGTACAGTCTGTGACCCAAAACTGCTAAACAAGTTTGAAACATGTTCTAGCAGGGGTCAAAACCTAGACCTTGACCTCATTTGTAGTACTGCCCAACCAAAAACTGTGTGGACAGTGATCTGTTAACTCTTTCAGGTGGAGTAGGTTACACCTCCCTGAATATAGAGAAGCAGGCTCACTACACATGATAAACAAACACACAGAAGGCCTAACGCAGCACTTAGCCTAACGCACATTTTCAGTAATTGTTTGTGGAAGGATGAAAAGAGACTTAAGTCATTCAAGCAACAATTAGGCTTCAGCTGTTCCCTGGGCTTTCCACTTCTCAATGTCATATTTCATCTTGTGAAAACAGAGCTCCAAGTGATAACATAAACAAGCAGAAACATGGTCTTTAAAAAGCTTTTGAAAAGTTTCCTGGCTTGTTGGAAAGTAGAAAATGTTTTCTTATTTTTTCTTAAAGAGTCTGATAATAGTTCTTTGTAGCTAAAAATACATCCTGCATTCTATATGGAATCAAATGTGATTCTTATTTTTGCATAATTCAAATAGCTGCAGCCAGGATTTCACTTTAAAAGCACTAATTTGCGGGAAATTATTTTAGGGGTAAAGTCTTTGTTCCTAAATATGAAGAAATAATTTGTTAACCAAAGGTAATCTGTAAGTTATAACAAGTTATATATACAATTATAACAAATTATATATACAGATATACCTGTAAGTTATATCTGACTTAATATTTTATAAACTATACTCTTCAGTGATCACAAATATTCATTTCATGTATTACAATAGAAACTTGTGTCACTAGATTATCTCTGAATCCTTTGTAAATTGAATATTAGGTAGGAAACAATTTCTACAGCACATACTATATGCCACGCATTTTCTAAAGATATTACATTAGATAATTCATTTATTAAATACTTTGCACAAATGGACACCTTTTATCCTCATAACTGTGATTTATTATCTCACCCATTTTACACATAAGAAATAGAATCACAAAGTCCAGAAAGTTGTCCATGTCAAGGGACACAGGCAGGGTTTCATTCCAAAATATCATATATACCAGAGCCTCTGCTTTGAAGAAACAGTCCCTCTTTGAGGAATACAGCCAGGTCAGCTGATGGGTCAGTCAGAGGTCATGCAAGTGCAGAACTAATCTGCAGGGGAGGGAAACCCAGCCTCATCAGCCCTGAGCCCAACAGACCAACTGCAGGCCCCTGAACATCTTTAGACAGATATTACCATAAGCCCTAACTGCTTGCCAACACATCAGGAACTCTTGGTTGTTAGGCCAGCACTCACTTTATACTGAGTAACTCTTACCCATTCTTCAGTGATTGAGGCAGTTCACTTATTCAATAAGCAGTCATCAGCAAAGATTTCTTAAGTAACCACATGCTGGCAGGCAAAAGGTATAACATAATGAATCACAAGGACTCCTGAGTTCAAGGACATTATAGTTATTTGCAAATATAAAAGTTAAATTAATAAATATTGATATGTTTTGATATCGATATTTATTC